CCTCTAGAAAGAATTGGCCACTTCAAGGTAAAGGGCAAAGGCTTGAATTGGAAGGTCTATTCACACTAGCCGTGAAGGGTAGACTGTGCAGAGCACCAGCGTTGACTTTTTATGCACTACCCTACCATTTGGAATGTCATGATTCCTTGTAAAATGCGAACAAGATAGAATGTCTGAATATTAACGTGTGCTGGGCAGGTGGGGATGAATTTAAATAAACAAACAAAAAATTGTTTCCTGTGTGGAAGAAGCCTTCTAAGGCATAACAAAATTTCTTTTACTGTGGATTTATATATTCCATGCCTAATCAGTTGAAAATCATTAACTGTGTTTTTTATGGATGCCCTTGAAAGGTATTTGGAAACTGCTGCATTAACTTGCTTTTTGACACATTCCTTGTTTATTATGTTAACAGTTTCTTGTAGGTTGTATTGGCTACCAGCTTGTTTCCAAACACAGTTCAAGATAGTGGTCTTTATATGTAAAGATACTAGTCTTTTTCCTAAGGAGAAGAGGTTGAGGGACTAAAATATTTGTAAGACCAATCCTCCCATTATAAATTTCCCATGCCAAATGGCTTAGGAGCTAGCCTTCTAACCATCAAACTAAGCACTGTTGGTAGGAATACAAGAGAGTAAACTGTTTTGGAATGTAAAAGTTAAGTTACATGTGGGATCATTTCTGGACCAAAAAATAGCTTATATCTACCTATCATTTGATTAATTGATCAATCTATGTATCCATATACAGAAAAAAGGAGAAAAGCTATTTCAGGAAGTACTTGGAAAGCACAAACTATAAGTAGTCCTTGATTTACAACAGTTCATTTAGTGACTGTTCAAAGTTGCAACAGTACTGAAAAAAGTTGCTTATGATCTTTTTCACAGTTATGGCCTTTGCAGCCTTTCCTCATGATCACATGATCAAAATTCAGATATTGGCAGCTGGTTCATATTTATGACAGTTGCCGTCACGTAATCACCTTTTGCGATCTTCTGACAAGCAAAGTCAATGAGGAAGCTAGAACAAATTAACAACTGGGATACTAACTTAACAATTGCAGTGATTCACTTAATAACTATGACAAGAAATGTCATAAAATGGGGAAAAACTAACTTAACAAATGTCTCACTTAACAACAGAAATTTTGGACTTGATTGTGGTCATAACTCAAGGATTATCTGTATAGTATTTGAGTTAGTAGGTTAGATTTATGACATTCTGCTTTTAAAAGCAGTTACTTTTGTGACTTACTCAACATGACTTTCAGGGATCACTTTGCAGCAGTGTTTCAGAATGAAAGCAAAAAATATGCCTTCAGGTTTATTAGAAAGGGAAGGGATGAAGGGAGAAAATACCCTTGATATTATCAAAAATATTTTATTAAAGTGATTTCATAAATATGTATTTTGTAAACTAGAAACCCTAAATAATCCTTTTAAGGGTGTTTAGTGTTTTTCAAAAGAATCTGTTCATTAAATTATAATATAACTTTGAGATTTAATATAATTGTCAAATGTCATCCTTAGAAATATTAGAATATTAGAATACTCTTTGCAGTGTAATGCAGCACCAGACTCCCTCACTTCTGATATTTTTCATATTAATAAAAGTTTTTCCCCCTTGCAAATGGTTTCCTTTCATTTTGTGTTATTTATAATTTGGTCCAAATAGTTCTTGAATTATTTTGCTATGTTATTATTCTTGGAGAAAAATACTTTTATTTTAAACTGAATAGAATATAAACATAAATCTGAACACTTAATGATGGAAGACCACTAAAATAATTGGTCCATTGGTTCCAGTAGGATTTTGGTACCATCTTTGACTACACCTATGTGTAATGGACATATGTAAGATAGATTGTAAAAAACTGGCTTTATGGCCAAGTTCTGTTTTGTAATAAGAATTTTGTTTCTGAGCATTTATTAAGTGCAACATAACCTAGTATTCTATTAATGAAAGCTGATAATCAGAAAAATACTATGAATAATTTGAATAAGTTGAAGAAAGTCGTATTTTATCATCTTTCACAAAGAAAGTTTTTCACATTTACAGTAGGAAAATGTAGAAATTACAAAACCCAAATTATAAATAGCAAGATCCAAATTTAGGGCAGTGTGCATGTAGTAGCCAACTGGTACCTTGAGCTGCTAATATCAATCATGTCATCTAATTTCTCTAAAAAATAAATATCTTTGTGAGTGAATGCAGACATGATCTGCATGATCTGTTTTGATCTACAGCTTATTTTAAAAGGCAAAATAAGAAAGAAGTATCTTTCTTTTTTGGCATATGGAACCTTACCTGTAACTTGTAGAAATAAATGTCTACTGTCCATACAATCTGGCCTGTTTTGCATGCCTCTGAATTTTGGCTTTTGCAATAACCATATTAACCTAACCTATTGCTTCTGCTATTTGTCTCGGGGCCATTCCAAGGGGCATTATTCTGCTTTGGGTCAACAATACTACCAAGTCCTGTCAAAATTATCTTGTTCCTTTTACAAAGATAATGAGCCATGTAGTATATTCAGCTAGCATGATTTATTCATACTTCTTTCCCATTGAATCCTATAAGAATATATTTGTATGTATAACACCAATTAGATGCCATCCTAGCTTCTTTTTAATAACTTCCTAGTCCTTTCTTATTAGTTAGTTTGTTTGAAACTGTCTGCCAGTCATTCATAATCTAAAATAGATGACTTTGTTAATGATTCTGGCAGATGAGTTGCTGTTGATAGGACAGATCAAAAGAGAGGATATTGTTTTGGGGCTTGCACCTTGCAAATCTTCTGTAATCAGATTGCTTTAATATGTGAGGTCCTTCTGTTTTCTATAGGGCCCTACCCAGAGACTCAGGCGTCCGAAGTTCCAGCAGCAGCGCAGATGGACAGGTCCGATCTAGCTTTCCCCATTTCTCCACGGACTAGCAAGAGTCGTATGTCCATGAAACTGCGGCGATCCTCTGGCTCAGCCTACAAGACTTAGCGAGGAGCAAAGCTTTTATCAAGATATAAATCTCTCCTCTATGCTGAATATTGTTCCTTCATTCCTCTGCTCTTATTTTTATTTTTAAAAAAACATGGAATTTTATTTCAAAATGAAAATATTTTAGCTTTTGTGTTAGAATATTCAGCTTCCTGCTAATCATAGTTTATCAATGCAGAGTATTTCCTTCACTGTTTTTTTTTTATACTTTTCCTTGTGAGAGGAAACTAAGCCTCTTTTAACATCTATGATTAACTACTAGCCACCCCTGAAGCTGGAAACTGCAGGCATGTTCCACTCTTATTTATTGTATAACCCTTTCAAAACAATAAAGATGTCATCTTCAAAGGGATGCATGTATACTTTTCAAACTAAGATGTATGTCCAGAGTTCTCTGCAAATATCACCAGAATTCAATGTACAGAGTTATTATATTATAAAAAAAAACCAAGTTAACAGAGACTCATCCTCAGCTCCATTATTCTTATTCACTGTTGGACAGACTTAGCAGCAAGCATTTATTGTTAAGTATCAACAGCTTCCAACTTTCTTGCTAAACATTTCCTTTTCTCTTGGCCCTATTGGCACAATCTTTCTCTTCCAGAAGTTGAGATCATCCCTTGGTATACCTCTATAAGTATACATGTGTACAATCACCTATTTTCAAGCACTTTGCCACTCCGGTCATTTGCTTTTAATCAAGTAATATCATGGGGGTGGGGGGAGGCTGTACCCTCATAATAGCAAATATACACACAAATACATTCCACTCCAATTTGTCACTACTACTCAGAAATATTTTCATGATGAAGAAATTCAACTGTGTTTAACAAAATGTAGCATGCCACTGGTATTAACTGCATGTGTAAATATATGTTCCTCACTTGGGCAACTATAGAAATATATATTGATGTATTTGTTCGCCATGTAGTATATACAAATTTGTAATGGTTCTGAAGAAAAGACATGCTATTTAATAATACAATAAAATTATTCTTACCACTTCGAGTATTTTGCATTTCATTACAAAAACTTACTTATGCAAACCTTTTTGGGGCATAAATATCATGAAAAGAATGGCACGGAATGATGATTTAATTATTCAAATACAAAATCTTTTGATCAGTTTTTCATTGCATTCTCTTGTTCCAACTGTAATTTTCTAATGGTTTTGCTTCATGTAACACATATTCTGCTTAAAACAGTATTTATAAAGTCACAGCGTAGAGCATTTAGCAGTGGAAGCAATTAATAATGCTTCCATATTTTTCCCTGTTTAGAAAGAGGTTTTTAGTATTTTAAGCTAAAATCATTGTCTACTGTTTTAAGCAAACTGTATATTGAAATTATTGTGTATGTTGTATGTTGCATTTTTAAAGTTTTCAGATCTCAAGTAAATGAAGTTAGAGTGAAAAAGTTGTATTTTGCCATATGGAACATTTCATTGACCATACCTGTTGACCAGCAGAGCTAAAATATCAATACATTATTGCGTAAAAAGTAAAATCCAAATTAGAGAAAATTTTAGATCTTTAGAAAACTATATTGGTGAAGTTGGACAACGTTCTGCTAGCTTAGTTTCCAAATATTTTTTTCAAATAAACTTGAAACCTGGAAGCAAAGGAAGAGTTTTAGCTAGAAGTCCAGTTCAAAGTTGCTTTTGATTTGGAAAGGCTGATCCCTAAATGATCTTCTAAATAGTTTTCATTCATATTATTATTTATTTATCCAACTGGGCATTTTCCAATGATTTAGTTTCTAATTAAGAGCCCAGGAGAAAGAGCTAGAGATTATAATTTTACAAAAGCACTTTCCATGGATGGTGGAGAGCACTGAACTTTAAAAAGCTAACAGCCTCTTGTACTTATTATAGTTATTGTCCAAGATTTTGACCCAAGCAGCCTTCCCGTGTCTGTGTGTGTGTGTGTTTCCTTTTATCATCTGTAGTTTAGTGAGCTTGAAAATGTATGCAATATACTCAGGAAGCAAACAAAAATTAATGCTGATTTTAATTACCAGTAATGAGCAACAGCAGACAGAAGGAGCATTTTGTAACAGACATTGACCTGCTATGAATAACTGACAATATATTGTTATATTACAGAACACAATGAACAAAACAATTACAAAAACTATTTTTTTAAACTTGAAAACTGGGGAGGCAAATTCCCCTAATTGAATATATAAATCTGACTACTTCTTCTTCCCAATTAAGCTTTAATTAAACAGTGTTGGAATGTATTTAAGATCCTAGGGACAAGAGTAAGCAGAATTAAATATTCACAGTCCCACTTTCCCCAGATGACTTACTCACAGGTAGGCACACAATTGGTTCTAGGTTTAGCTACAGTATTAAGCACAGCCAGAAAAGTATGTTTCCTCTCAGTATAATGCCATGTTTTTAGTTCTAAAGCAGAAGGTGAGCTTCTAAATGGTAAGAGTTCAGTATGAAAACAGTTAAGAGAGTTCAGTATTTCACAGAATCTACAGTGCACTCTTATCCCACTATAAGGCAGCAAGGGAAAATTTGTCAAGAATAACGGGCTTTTTGTACTAAAAATATTGGACACAAAATATGGTGATACCTTTTGGTTATGATTTTCCATTGGAATTATACTTTAGAGAGGATTATTTGGGTCACCAAAGGAAAAAAAAAACAAGGCTTAGAGACAAAAGGGATAATGCAGTATCAGATAATGGGAGAGTAGTCCGAGCACCTGCTCTGTACAGTCAGGCAAATGTTTAGCCCTAATGTGTGCAATTTTACAGTTCTGTCTGGAGAGAAGAATCAACTCGTTGCCGGACGAGCCTAGCAGCCCGGCCTGACGGACATCTGCAATAGAAGAACCTGCCTGTTCTCCGAAGGGTGGCACTTGTTGATGTGTCGGGTAAGACCAGGCGAGCTGAAGAAAGTCGAGGGACAGTGTTTGCAAGAAAAGATCTGCTGCTCACCATGGTTAACGCTGCCCTCAGGCTGCCCCAGTGGCAGAAGCAATTCCTCATGCACTGTGTGCCATACCCGATGCTTGTCTCGGATGTCCGCCGACGGGAAATGCGCACCACACAAATGACAGGAAAAAGCGATCTGTTGCGGGAGTGGGTGAGATGGTGAGTTGTTGGTAAAGCTGGCAATGCCAGCCTGGTGGGTTCCCAGGTGTTTGCGCAGGTATGCCTGGCGCCGGAAAGACTTGTGGCAATAAGGGCAAAAGTAGACCTCGCCAGGAGGAGCTACCAAACTGGAGCCAGGAGTTGAGGTGGCTGCGGCGGTAGCTTCGCTGCCCGGACCTATCTGGGAGGCACGAGGAGGCGGCTGGTCCCGGCAGCAGGAGCTGTCCGCAGAGCCGTGGTGCTGATCGCGGCCGGGCTCCCCGCGACTGTTTTCTTTGTCCTGGGTGGGACCGGCGGAGGTGGTCGGGCGCGGCTTGTGCCACCGGCGGTGAGAAGCCAGGTTGGCCGGGCAACTGAAGATTTTGTGACACTCCGGGCAGCGGTATTCGACGCGCACAATTCGGGAACAACGATGCTGAGCCAGAGCCAAGGGATCGGCATAGGGCTCCTTGCACAGCTGGCAGACAAATTCACCGAGCAGCGTCGGACGAGCCACGCGGATCCCTTCGCTGCCCGCCTCGGAAGCCGTTTTGATCCGCAACCCCAACACAGGCGATGTGGTCACCTCGTCGGCAAAGCTCAGCTTGCGCACGGCCTTGGGCTTCTTAGCGGGCGGCGCCTTCGCTCGGGAGGGGCGCTTGAGCGGGATAGCCGGGCAAAGCGAGGCAGCCGGCAAGGGGAGCGGCACCGGCAAAGGCACCGGAGTGCGCGGAATCAGGGGCAGCTTTTCTGCCAGCGCCAAGGCGGGGCCCAGAGGAGAGGATTCGGCCGATACGGAAGAAGGAGCGTAGCGCCTGGGCTCGTCTGCGGCGGAGACTACGTTGTCCGAGCCTCCGGCGTCCCAGATCACCATCACTGGGGAGTTGGGCTGAGGCAGCTGCTGGGGCTGTTGCGGCGCCTCTGGCAAAGGCGTTGCGAGGCGGGGCGCTTCTTCCAGGCGGAGCGCTGAGGGTCCGCCTGCGGGGCGCATCCTATAGGAGCCCCCCGGCCTCCTGCTCCGTTTCACCAGGAACCCCCGCGGCATCTTCCGGGTACACCGGATGGCAGCGCTCCACTTGCACCGGCGTTGCGTGCCCGTCGGGCGTTTATACCCCACGTCCCTCGGGGAGCGAGTGCGTCATCCTTCCCTCGGCCCAAGGCTGCCAATGAGGAAGTTGAGAGGACAAATGGGGAGGGAGGGGAAACGCGAGTTGGAAAAGGCGGGAGAATCTGAGCTTGGGAAAGAGCCCGGCCACTTTCCCAATCGGCGCTGGCAAGGGGCGGGGCCCGGCAAGGCTAACTGCTTCCCTCCGGGGCAAGCAACTTTCTCACCGCCCAGCTATCCCTTACCTGCCCGCTTCTAATAACTTGACCTTCCATACATTGCACAGAGAGAGGGGGGAGAGGGAGAGGGAGAGGGAGAGAGAGAGCTTCTTCTGACCCGATCTTCCCACACAGGTTCCTCTCTCTTTCCAAGCATCTTTGGAATAATTATCTTCAGTTCTCCTGCAGTTTCCTTCTTCAAAACCAAGGCAAAGTTGAAGGAGCCTCGCGGGGCAACAGGCGCTGGCCAGGAGACGCCAGATGCTTCGGGCAAAGAATTCAATAAGGCAAGGGGACCTTACCTGCAGTGGATGGGGTGTTAGATAAAGTTTGACCCATTCAATAAATAAATTCCTATTGGTGCTGAAATGATCCCTGAAAGAATGCAGATATCCCTATCCTCTGCTAAAATGCAAACAATCCGAAGCAAATGAAGTTCCTGAAAGTATGTGATCCATTTCCCTACTTCAGTAATTTCCCCCCCCCCCCAAAAAAAATAAGCTAATGGAGCTCATTCATGACATGGTAGTTTAACCTCTTCCCATTATCAACCAGACACACAACTTGCACATGGAAAGATAAAGATTAATGGCAATCTCATTGGGATGCTCATTAGTTCTAATAATCAGGAACTGGGAGAAGTGGCTTGGTAGCTACACTATTTTTCAGTAAGGATAATCATGTATTCTATTTGGATAATGCTATCAAGAGTGCAACAACTTTGCCAGAAACATCAGTATTGTTGTCTCCATTCATGCTGGTTGAGAGAGAAGGATAAGGATAATTTTGCACAATAGCCTTAAACTGCTTGTCTCCTGTGCTAACACCACCTACCGTATGAATGAAACTGGCTTAAGAAATCACTGTCCAGATTTCAAGCTTTGGTAACAATGCTGGCCATAAAAGTTGGGGAATTCATTAATTCAGTATATTAGCCCACATCAGGAAGAACACACAGCCAGCATTGTTACCAAAGCCTGATTCCCCCTCTTCTGCCAGAGAAACAGGCATGAATCCCTTTTCTTATCTGGATGTATCTTTGAAGACATGTAGTTTCCCTTTGCAGGTGCAAACAATGTCTAACTGTCATAGAATTGTACTGTTAGGAATTTAAAAGCCATACAGTCCAATACTCAGTGCAGAACTTGCTTGCTTATGGCAAACACATCACCAGTCCACCTCTGGATGAGGGGAGCACACCTCATTGTTTTACAATTTCACTATTCCTGGTAGGATTTGAGCTAGGAGGGGAAACTAATTCTTGTTAGTTTCACAGCAGTTCTTGTGTCCAGTCTGAAGAGATACCTTATGCCAAGTCCTGGCTTTACAAGACCCATTAGAAGAATTCCAACACAACAAAAAACTTTATTAGATTTTAGTCCAAGAGAACTAGGAGATTTGTCTGCACTGGCAGAAGGAAAAAACTTTGTTGTTATTGTTGCTGCTGTTGCTGCTGCTGTCACTTTTTCATTAAGATTGCCAGGAAGAGGTTTGGAGTTTGCTCACTTCCTTTTGTTCCGATATACATACCGTACATCCATTCCTCTTCTCTTTCTTGCAGTCTTTTCACCATTACCCCCAAATTGTCACTTTGCAGCATCCTTTGCATCCACCATTTCCCTGCTTTTACGCAATTTCTGTAGGACTGATTTAAGGAAAAAACCAAACAAAAAATAATTTTTTAGCACACAAGGAAAAGGTTCGTTGTTTCACTGGTCCATTAGACTAGGATAAAATGATTGTGGAGGATTTAGGCATGGAACTACAACACAAACTAAGCAACGGTAGCAGAGATACCACCTACAATGAACTGAATGAGCATTGTCTTCCAATTCAACTTTTTGCTGTGAAGCAAAAAAAAGGCAGGGAAAGATTGCCTTTACACCTGGCTAGGGACAATTTGAGGATGATGTTATATATTTGTGTCTCCCAGAATTGGCAAACAGGTTGCCCTAACTAAAAATTTTCAATGTGTAATTATCCACCGTCTGACATAAATTCTCTACATCCACGAGATTGGAGAAGATGCATGACTAATGGAAGAAGAGTTTATCTTACTCCGGAGCTCCCAACGGCATGTCATTATCACCACTGTATCAAGTAACACATCCTTTCATAGAGAGGGTTTTTTTCCATAGAAAATTTTAACTGTGTGATACAATATAATTTTGCTATTAGAATGGCTCTAAACTACTTTGAGAATAGTTAAGTACCTGTAATGACTATTTTCTGACCAGTTTCACCTAAAATAAATTACCTTCTGCTGACATCAGCATCTTCAATCTAGAAATTAACTACTAGTTGCAAACTATATTTCAGAATTGCTTCTATTTTTAGTTTGTTCAAAATTTCTTCTGTTCTTCCCAGCTGTTCATCCCCATTTCTCATAAAAGTCCTGTCTTTATTTGGGGTACAATTGTAAATAAAAAGGACAAATCTCTTAGGCCAGGGATGTCAAACTGCCACCCCACAGGCCGCATGCATCATAGCAAAACCACGCCCACTCCATTGCCGGCAATGGCAAAAAAGTCGCAATACGTCACGTGACATTGTGAGTTTGACACCCCTGCTGTAGGCTATCTTTGTTTAATAAGAGGAACAAAGTATTGTGGCAGTGAATGAGGTAATGATGAAAGTTAATAATTCTGGAGTACAAAATGCAGTGGTAAGGGCACTAATAATCGTTTCACCATTTTTCCCATGTGTCATCACTGCTGCATGAACTGCCTTGGTTGCCAGGTGGCTTCCAGGTGCAATTCAGATATTGGTCTATAAGGCCCTTTGTGGCATGAAGCCTGATGTTTGAGGGACTGACTATCTCCAGTTGTTTTGGCCTCACTGCTCTCTCTCTCTCTCCCTCCCTCTCTCTCTCTCTCTCTCTCTCTCTCTCTCTCTCTCTCTCCCTCCCTCCCTCCCTCCCTCCCTCCCTCCCTCTCTCTCTCTCTCTCTCTCTCTCTCTCTCTCTCTCTCCATGTGTTCTGACGTCCCTTAATATCTGGCTCTGTTTCCAAGGTATTTGTGGAGTCCCCAGTGAGTCTTTTTATTCTTACTGCAATTATTGTTTTCCAGGTGCTCATGTTTTTAACTGTTTTTAAATTAAGTATTTGAAATATTACATATCCCACAGTCTTTTAAGGTCTGACAGACTTAAAAACCAAATAAATATATATTATTCTCTTGGAGAATGTATCCAACTATTCAGAATAATTTGGCTAACTTCCCACATTCCTGAAGACTGTTGAATGTAGTGTTTGATTTATTTATATCCTGCCTTTATTATTTTTACAAATAACTCAAGGTGGCAGACATACCTAGTACTCTCCCTCCTCCTCCTATTTTCCCCACAACAACAGTCCTGTGAGGTGGGTTGGTGTAGTAATAAAACACTGGGAGATTATTCAGAGTACTACAAATGACAATTGGAAACACAAATTAGAAGCCAAGAAGTCAAGGGCAGCTATCTCCATTTATCTATATAAAACTTACATTAAGTATGTAGGGGTAATTCTTTCATTTCAGCAATTATATCTTTCAGGACAAGGAAGTAGCTCAAGGTATTCTGGCTACATTTCATCCTGAAATGAATTATGGGTTAGAACCGTACAAACCTCATTTCTTCTCCTGGGTTTTCAATCACCACGGGTGAAACATGAAGTGTCCATAGCAGCTCGTTCATTTGTACTAGCTGTAGCTTCTGGATCTTGAACAGCAACTCCATACAGAGTGCATTGCAATAATCTTGCAACAACTATTAAAGAAAGTTCAACAAGGATATTGTGCTTATTAGATAAACCATGTCCATAGTTATATTGGAAATAAGTCTCAGTTCTCTCCAATAGATGGCTAGAAAATCTTACTTGGACAAGATTGTTGTTGTTGTTTTTAAGAAAACTTGAGTCTGTTTTCTAAACTAGAGGTAGACTTAGAATTATCATATCCAGCCTGCAAAATTCTGAACAACCCACTAGATGGCAGGAAAGGTTCTGTATCTTTAGTGCCATCTAGTGATCACTGTATTTCTGTAGCTCAGCAGTAGTAGCTCAAGTGTAGGCAAACTACAGTCTTCCAGATATTGCTAGACTATGGTTTCCATCTCCTCACCGTTGGCTATGTTGATTGGAATTCATTGGAACTGGAATTCACTTCATCCACATTTGGGTGGATCATGCAGGGAAATTCACTGGAGAAAGTAATTATGTTTCAAAGAGTTTGTGGGGAAAGGAAACCAGGCCACCAAAGAACATGCTGGCTGAACACCATCCAAGCTGACACCCACCAGAGCATAGAACTCAAAGTAGTAGTCCAAGATTGCAAGACATGGAGAGACCTGGCCCACAGAGTCACCAAGAGTCAGATATGACTGAATGGATAACACCATCATCATCACCCTCACCATCACCATCACCATCATCACCATCATCATCTGTAATAAACAGTGCTTGGTAGGTAAAAACACTTGCTTACCATGAGGTCATTCATCTCAAGGAAAAGTATAAAAGTTGCTACCATTTCTTGAAAAAGCAGATTACTAGAGTTCAGCATCTGATAGCAATAGTTAGCCACAAACAGCGTTAGCTCAAGAAACTGGAACAAGAGATTTTGGAAGGGTAGCTCTATTACTTTGAAATGAATACCTTCAGGACAAGAAAGGAGGATCTCTCTCTCTCTCTCTCTCTCTCTCTCTCTCTCTCTCTCTCTCTCTCTCTCTCTCTCTCTCTCTCCCTCCCTCCCTCCCTCCC